CTGCTGGGTCTTGCTACCCATGAAACTGCAGCACACCATGCCAGCCATGCCGGAGAAACTCTTGACGTGCATGTCATTTTGCTGCATCTTGACCATGTGACCCGGCGAAAGTCCTGAACGTGTGACAAATTTTGGTCCCCAGCATCGATGCATTTGATAAACATGGGCCCCCAAGTCATAAATAGATCCATATTAAAAAGGTAGGGAATCGTTTAGGGCGTTGGTATCTAAAAGGGGAGAGGGATAGATATGAAGGGATCCATATGTTTGCTCTTTCGGCGTACATATCTTCCACGTGAGTTTCCCTTGGATTCTCGGAAACATAGTCAACCCTACTAAAACATACATGGGGGTTTCCATAAATGGAGGTACCCCCAAATGGATTGTTTATAATGGAAAATCCATCTACAAATGGATGATTTAGGGGTACCCCCATTTCAGGAAAACTCCATATTTCGGAAAATCGGAGTACCCCAAAACCATGGGGTTTGCCTTGGTTTCAAGATGATCGTGAAAACTTGGATCATTTTGGATTCCTACATGACTTCGGAAACCACCAAGTAGATGTTGTAACTTCAATTACATTCCAAATTGAGTTTTAGTTTATATATTCTAGATGTTTGAGTTATATGATATACTGGTTGGTGGTTTGGAACATGAATTTTATTTTTCCATATATTGGGAAGTCATCATCCCAACTGACGAATTCCATCATTTTTCAGAGGGGTAGGCTCCAACCACCAACCAGATATATATTGTCCCTTCAACCATCCCGATGAATAGTCATATCCCGTGAAATCCTTATTTTTGATGCTTACCCTCTGGTAAATTCACAGCTGGACCCTGAGAATCGCCCATTTTTCAGGGTTTCACTCAGCTTCCAACCCCGATGACTGCCATGGTCGTCATGTTAATTTATTGGAGGGTAAAACAAATATATATCTATCTGGGTAAATCATAATATTTCACTAACCTGAAATGTTGGGCTATTTGGGGATGATTTCCCTAAAATAAACCATGATGATATTCTAATATCCCGTGACATCCTCATTTTTGATGCTTAAATCAATGGCAACTCCAGGATCCTAAATTGGATATAAGGCCTATTTTTCAGGCCTATTTTTCAGTGAATATCCCAGCAAAATATGGCCTGAAATATCTATAAATATCTGAAATATGGTACCAACGTACCTTGATTTTAGGATCCTGGAATTCCCATTGATTACCCTCTGGTAATTTAACATAGCTATTGAAAATCACCATTTATAGTGAATTTTCCCATTAAAAATGGTGATTTTCCATAGTTACGTTAAATTACCAGAGGGTAAATCAGCCATTTTCAGATAGGGTTCGACCTCGCCGGGACGCTCTTTTTCGCTCAGGATGTCAGCTCTGACCCATGCGGTCACCAGCATCTGTGCGAGGACGTGCCGGCTGTGGACCAGGATGGTTGCTGGACATCGAACGTTTTATGGTGGTTTAATGGGATGGAAAATCATGAACAATGATGGTTTAATGGGATTTAACCAACAAAAATGATGATTCAAATGGGGCTTTCCATAGAAAAATGGTGGTATAGAAATACCATAATGGTTAATGTATGGTAAATCTACGTATAGTTATTCTGTATGCGTTGAGGAATTCCGTAAATGGGGGTACCGTACCCCAAAATGCATGGTTTATAATGGAAAATCTATCTATAAATGGATGATTTAGGGGTGCCCCTATTTCAACATCTCCCTGCACAAGAGGATGGTGAAGTGATAAAATGGCCAAAACCGAAAACCTTTTGCCATCCCGAAACCTACTAGTTGAAAGAGGAGTCCCCGGTATAGGTCAAAATTGTGTAGCCCAATAATTTCTGGTTGGTGGTTTGGCACATGTTTTTTTTTTCCATATATTGGGAATAATCATCCCAACTGACTAATAATTTTCAGAGGTGTTGAAACCACCAACCAGATTTGATGGCTAATATTCAACAATGTTCAACATATACTACCCTCTGTGGTCCCTGCCATAGGGGTTCAATTTTGACGCCAAAGATCACGGTGATCCAACATCTGTGTCAGTTAACACCGTAATGGATGATAGACCAATGTTTCGTGTGAAATTTGCTTCAAATACCAATTGGTCGTCTCACATGGCTGGGAAATCCCCGAACTAAATGGAGCTTTTAATTCGAAGAAACATTTCAAAAAAAAAGGGGATTTCCCAGCTACCCATATTTGATTGCGGAAGGGAACGTTCTTTTTTGTTTCCTGGACGCGATATGGAATATGGATAGGGCCACCGGCCCCTGCCGAGCCAAGGGGACCGCGGAAAAATGTCAAAAGTGTTCGGCTGCCCCACAGCAAATGCGAAGTCAAGTGCAAACCGAAGCTTTCAGGCTTCGAAGCATTTCGAAACACACTCTTTGCGCAACCTCTGACTGTTGACATGTCGTTTTTGTTGTCCTGCCCGGTCCTGCCCAGCCTTCAGAAGCCTCGCGGAGGGCTAAAACACCATGGCAGTGAAGGACGGACGGGGTCCGTTTCGGGCAGCCTGTCGTCCCAGGCCAAAACCCACCGAAACCGGCGGCAGCGGCAGCGATACAAACGTCCCCTCTCTGGCGCGGATTCACGTGTTTTTTTTTCACGCTTATAATTTATGGTTATTATTCATGGCCCATGTAACAACGGGTTTTTTAAGTGGAAGAACGTACTTTTGTCGTTTATATAATAAATGGGCTAACGCCCTGGTGCCGCCGACCCCCATTTTGAGGGCCATGGTTGTTTGATGTTATCCGATGTGGTACTTGAAAATGGAGGATTTACCCTCAACTTGTGGCAATTCTTCCATGGGGGCAATGATGATAAACCATGGGATTTGATGTGGTTTTTTTCCATGATTTTCACCAGGATTTTGGGTGATTTGAAGGTTGAAACTGAGGATTGTTCACCTGGGGGTCTTGAGACCTGCCGCGACCGTCGGACTGTTGATATGCGTCCTTTGGCTGCTGACTAGCTTAGAGCCTGTAAGAGGAGCTTGCAGCAGGGAAACAGCTCACCCATGGCAAAGCAGCGAAAGGCCATCGAAAGCTGCTGCGAGGGTTTTGAAGGTTTTGAGGGTTTTAAGGGGTGCTGAAAACGTGCCAGATAGAAGTTTTGAAGCCCAATAGAAACAGCTTGTGGCGTTTCGGAAGTGCCAGCTAGCAATTTCGAAGCCCAACGGAGGCAGCGAAAGGCCGTCGAAAGCTGCTGGGAGGGTTTTGAGGGTTTTGAGGCTTTTAAGGGGTGCTGAAAACCTGCCAGATAGCAGTTTCGAAGCCCAATAGAAACAGCTTGTGGCGCTTCGGAAGTGCCAGATAGCAGTTTCGAAGCCCAACAGAAACAGCTTGTGGGGCTTCGGGAGGACCCATGGCAAAGCAGCGAAAGGCCGTCGAAAGCTGCGGCAAGGGTTTTGAGGCCTTTGAGGGTTTTAAGGGGCATGCTGAAAACGTGCCAGATAGCAGTTTCGAAGCCCAATAGAAAAAGCTTGTGGCGCTTCGGAAGTGCCAGATAGCAGTTTCGAAGCCCAAGGCCTCGGAAGTGCCAGATAGCAGTTTCGAAGTCCAACAGAAACAGCTCGTGGGGCCTTGGGAGCCCATGGCAAAGCAGCGAAAGGCCGTCGAAAGCTGCTGGGAGGGTTTTGAAGGTATTAAGGGGTGCTGAAAGTGTGCCAGATAGCAGTTTCGAAGCCCAATAGAAACAGCTTGTGGCGCTTCGGAAGTGCCAGATAGCAGTTTCGAAGCCCAACAGAAACAGCTTGTGGGGCTTCGGGAGGGCCCATGGCAAAGCAGCGAAAGGCCGTCGAAAGCTGCTGCGAGGGTTGTGAGGGTTTTGAGGCTTTTAAGGGGTGCTGAAAACGTGCCAGATAGCAGTTTCGCCCAGTAGAAACAGCTTGTGGCGCTTCGGAAGTGCCAGATAGCAGTTTCGAAGCCGAACAGAAACAGCTCGTGGGGCCTCGGGCCCATGGCAAAGCAGCGAAAGGCCGTCGAAAGCTGCTGCGAGGGTTTTGAGGGTTTTGAGGCTTTTAAGGGGTGCTGAAAACGTGCCAGATAGCAGTTTCGAAGCCCAATAGAAACAGCTTGTGCCAGCCAGATAGCAGTTTCGAAGCCCAACATCTTGTGGCGCTTCGGAAGTGCCAGATAGCAGTTTCGAAGCCCAACAGAAACAGCTCGTGGGGCCTCGGGAGGTCCCATGGCAAAGCAGCGAAAGGCCGTCGAAAGCTGCTGCGGAGGTTTTGAGGGTTTTGAGGCCTTTGAAGGTTTTAAGGGGTGCTGAAAACGTGCCAGATAGCAGTTTCGAAGCCCAATAGAAACAGCTTGTGGCGCTTCGGAAGTGCCAGATAGCAGTTTCGAAGCCCAACAGAAACAGCCCGTGGGGCCTCGGGAGGTCCCATGGAAGAACGTACTTTTGTCGTTTATTTTAGGTGAGGATTTAACCATCAAAAGAGTGGAGTTGCAATTTGGGAAATCTGCTGGGGTTAGATCATGTGTATATAGTGTATATATATATAATTATATTTATATATATACACATTTTTTTTGCTTCACTCAGCTTGGACATAGTTACTGCAGAATATCCCGTGATATGTCCATTGCTATTCCCATATTTGGTAACCTCTGGTATCACACATGGCCAGCTGGACAATCTCTATTTAGTTCGATGATTTTCCCATTTAAACCTTTATTTTGAGCGAGTTTCCCAGCTATCCATGTTTGATTACCTAAGGGTTGGAATTATCCAAACATTGGTAGATAGATAGATAAATATATATATATACCTATATAGAAATAAAGTTGGTGTTGTAGCATCATTCCCCACTTTTTTCATCCAGGTTGGCTTGAGATTGCTGCACAGTCTTTTGATCCTCTTCGACAGTGCCTTGATCATCCCGTGGCTTCAAATCCCACGGACTGACCTCTCACACTGGGACGCGTTACTACACTCGTTCATTCCCTTTGCCATTTTGACCTTTAACAGCTCCTTGGTCCTTGCTGAAGAATGCGAAGGTGTGGGGCATTTGAAGATTTTGAAGGTGAAATTTCATGGTGAAACATGATGAAACAAAAAGTGCAAAAGTGTTTGGATATGGATATGGGGCCCGAACTATGGTGAAATATATCCACAGTTTACTGGCTTATGGAGGTGGTTTTCCCTAAAAAATGGTATGTACCCCAACTGGTAAACCCTGGGGGTTTACCAATCCCGGGTGGATTTTTTCGTCAGCGATTAGAGACTGTGGGATTCACCCAATGCCATAAACAAACACCGAAGTGGGGGTTTGTTTAATATTGGGATTGCCATATGAATGATCACTAGGTCAACTTAAATCTAGAAAATGCTGGATAAACATGATCTACAAATAGTGTGAGTTCCACATCTATGTTCGTTTATAGGTGGCTACAGTTGACTGTATTATTTGCATTTTTCTTGGGATAAACAGCTAGCACCACGGGAAATCATCGGGGAAAACATCGGAAAATACCGTGCTGGAACCACGTTTCGACATTTTGTTGGTGCGAAGTCTGGCCTGTGACCTAGGCTGCCTCCTAGTGCAGTTGAACCAGTACTCATTGGAAACCAAGGAACGACACAACTCTGATGGTGTGGGTTTCGCAGGGGATTGGTGAATGGTTGAAGTGTCAGTAAGCAACCTCCAAAATGGTTGATTTTGTTGTGAAGTGCCACTATCTTAAGATTGTTTTACTTAGTTTTACTTTGAAAAAGACTGCTTGATGTTGTTTGTGATGCTTCTATGCATGCGTAGGAACAGATGAAGAACATATCCTGCGAAACAAATGCGCTTGAAAACGGGATCTCTCGTGCAAGAAGAACACTGAACATCTGCATCCTGGATTTTTTTTTTTTGCACTTGGAACATCTAGGAAACCCTAAATTGAGCCAATTTCATTCTTCGCCTTAGGCTTTCATGTTTGCATCAACAACATCCCAGTTCTGTTTTTGTCCACAGGGGGATTTCAAAGTTTCATGGTTTATCATGTGACCGAGTCGCCGTAGATAGACACAGACCCAACTGTTCCAGTATGGAACTGGGTAACTGGGTCGAAACATTTGTAGATCTTTTGACAATGCCAGGATATGCCTCGGAAAACCAGGGTGTTCTCCTGTTTTTTTTGTTTCTATTTGCCTGGTTGGTGGTTTGGAACATTTTTTATTTTTCCATATATTGGGAATAATGATCCCAATTGACTAATATTTTCCAGAGGGGTTGAAACCACCAACCAGTTGTGTTTTGCGTATCAATTGAATGATACATAATGATACGCATGCTCCATTATGATCTTATCAACTGGTGAATATCACCACAGGCTAGTTGGTTTATTGTGAACACAAAGACACGACAATTTCTGAGTCATAAATTCACCTCGCAGGAGTTGGCTTTGCAGGCTGCATATCTGGACTTTCAAACCTTGGATGATGCTGGGCTTGGTGAAGGGTGGCTTTTTGTTGGGTTGGAGATGGCCCTTTGCAACCAGAGTTGGGATTAACACCTGGCAATGGTAAAGTCCCTCATTCAAAAAGACTCTCCTCCCCTTACCCTCCATCGAGTTTTCTTTTAAGGCTCCTGTGAACACAGGCTAGGTGTATTTGCCTAACACTTGATAGATTTTTTTCTTTTTGAAATATATATAATGGATATATAATAGATATATAATAGATATATAATAGATATATATATATAACATAATATAATGGATATATAATGGATATATAATAGATATAATACGTTTTTCAAAAAACTGGCTTTTCTAACAAAGGCGGTGGTTCCGGTTTTTTCCATCGCCCGCCCTCCCTCACGCGGCCCAGTAAAGGACGCCACTTGCACAAGCAGAGCAGATGAGATTCGCATACGGGAGGCCATTAGTGGCCACGAGGTGCAAGTACTCGGATGGGCTGCCGGGATGCCCCAAAAGATGGGATGATGTTTGCGACATTGAAGCCATGGCCCAGTCGAAATAGTTGAAATTTACCCATTCAACATTCAACATGGTGATTTTCCATAGTTATGTAAACCTTTACCAGAGGGTAGCTCCCAGATTGAAAAAAACCTGTTATAACTGGGGTCAAAAAACATGTTATAACTAGTTATAACTCAAAAGAGCAACTTTCACTTACTGGGCTATTAACCACTAAGTGGGAAGATCCTCCAAGTAGAGAGCTGCTCATGTGTTTGAGATATAACTGGGTCTGTCTGAAAAATATTTCCGAACCCCACTTTTATAGCCAAATTTTCATCGATTTTAATAGGGAAAATGATAGTAAGATAGTAAGTAATCCATTTTTTCATTGGGGTTTTCAGCGAAATGTTCAGACAATGTCAGGTGACCTTGGGGCGTGGGGTGGTTTGAAATGGGTAACCCAAATGGAAATCCAATGGATTGTGAATGCATAAAATCCCTAGAAACATGGCTGAATGCACTGAATGCACACTCATGTTTCGAATATGTAATATGATGTAATATGATGTAATATGATGTAATATGATGTAATATGATGTAATATGATGTAATATGATGTAATATGATGTAATATGATGTAATATGATGTAATATGATGTAATATGATTACATCCAATCACTAGGAATATCTGCCAGTTAGATGGATAAACAAAGCAGTTATAGGCGGAAGGGCCCGTTGTAGCAGGCCAACTGGGCGCTTTTTTCCTGGCCAAAAAAATTGGTCGAAAAAACCATCCGGATGTTGCGAGATACTTGGGATTTTCATCATCTTAGTATCATGAAGATTTATCATGAAATCAACTTCCATAGATGTCCTTTTCCCATTGGTTGGTTGATGAAAATAGAGGGGTTTGAAGAACCCCCTTTAACAACAAGTAAATGATGATAGATGGTATACCAGCTCCCGGCCCAAACCTATTTTTACCAAAAGGACATGATTGAAACCAAGCATCTTGGATCATCTTGGGCTACTTTGATCATTGTAAAACAGAAATGCTTGCTGCAGTTCCATGATCCATATGGGGATGGGTCAAAATGGAAGACCTAGGGGACCACAGATGTTAGTCTAGTTTAGTATTAACCATCCATAATTTTGGGGTACCTAATTTTGACCCATACCCATATGACTCATCCTTGGAAGTGCACTTCCAGTGAACTGTTCGTGGATATAATTCCACCATAGTTAAGTTGGGCAGAAAAATCCCCACAAACATGGGGCTTAAAATGCCATGGGTATAGGTCTATAACAGTGGACCATGGATATAAGTGGATAGAAAATCATAGTTATAGGGCTTATATCAAGTTATATCCCAACTTATGGGGGTTTCATCATAATACATATATATATATTTATCCATCTAATAACCATTAACAATCGAGTTTTTTCGGGGCCTCATATCCTAACAAACATGGGGCTAAACACTTCCCATACTGTAGTGGTATCACAATGCCCATTAATATCCTAACTGCTGGTGGTAAAATTCTTGTAGTTACAACATCCATGTCAAAAAAAAATCGCCACAGCCAAACTGTACCCCTGTGGGCCTCGACAAACATGGTATTCTACCCAGTGATTTTTCTTATCATTAAACTGCCATGATCATGTCACCATTTTATGAACCAGTTTGATAACCATTTTTAGAACCGTTGACCACCATTGATAACCATCTAATCTATTAACCTCTACTGACCATTAAAAAAACCATTCTTTTTAAAACCATTCTGGTGAAGTAATAGCCGATCATAAGCCATGTTTATCACCATCAACCATTAACGAACCATTAATGAACCATTCATAATCGTTAATAACCATCTACCCTCTGGTAAACAGCCACATAACTATGGAAAATCACCATTTTTAATAGGTAAACCATCTATAAATGGCCATTTTCAATAGCTATTTTGACATAACCAGAGGGTATATACCATCTATTTCTCACCCCAGCACCCCGTAGGGGCCCCGTAGCAGGAAGATGTGGACACCGCCATCCGCGTTTTGATGAAAGCCGGTGCCTATAACCTGGAGCTGCGCCGTGCCTATGAGGAGGGAGAAGACATCACTGCGTCGGGTACCAGAGACGCGTGGTGATGGAAGGGAAGAACATGTTTTTTTTTTCTGCGGAGCTATATGAAAATGTGAAGATACCTAGATACACATATATAAATATGATAATATATGTATATATGTATATATGTATATATGTATATGTGTTTGTGTATACATGTATACATATACACAAACACATGTAGGTGTATATTTAAAGCAGCTCACTCAAGAGTTGGTTATTGACTACATAGTCTCACTAGAAGTCATGCATAATTTTGGCAACAGCTGATTCCATGGCCCAGCAATGGATATCCTGCTTGGATAATTGGCCAAAAAGTCCAGCAGAACTTCGTCAATGGATAAATTTGGCACTTCAAAGTGGGTGATATCCGGTTAGCCCACACTTATAGATGGGTCTATCCAGCCGGTGTAACAAGGGTGTCAATCTTCCCAGCTGTCACTAAGGACATTTGCATCAAGACCTTTCTGGTGGCCGTCCTCTGGTTCCTCGGAACAAACCTTTTGTGTCCTCGGTTGGTGTGTCATCCCACCTTTTCGCTGGGTCATCATCATCAACATCATGATCAAGAACAAGATCAAGATCAATATAATAACAATAATAACAATAACAATAATAATAAGAATAATAACAGTAACATTAATACTAATATGATAATATGATATAATACTAATATGATAATATGATGATATGATAATATGAAAATATGATAATAATCATCATCGACATCACCACCGTCTTCCCAGGTTTTACGTCAAGAAACACTAAAAACCCACGGTCGCGTGTCGCGAGGATGATGTCAACTGTGGACACGTCAGGGGCAGCAGAGGTGCAGCAAGGCTGTCGGAACCATCAGTGGGCCAAGTGGCTTTGGATCGCTGCAGTGCTTTGGCGGACTGGTGGTGTTCAGGTGGAAAAAAACGGTTGAAATCACCATTATAACCAATAACAAAGGTGAAATAATGGTTATAACTATTATCATATCCCTGATGTGAAATTTCATTATAATGGTTATATCACTGTTATGAACACAACCTGGTGTTTTTCATCGTAAATCTGGTGATGAATTTTTTCGCCAAGCGTTTAACGAGGAAACCGGTGATGGGATGATTGGGATCATTGGGATCATCCTTCAAAAAACCGGCAGTTCATCAGCATAACTGGCATAACTGGCTTGATATTTATATAGAAGCCACTTATAGATGGAATATGATGATGGAATATGATGATGGAATATGATGATGGCATATGATGGTATAAGCCACTTACCAATATAGAAGCCACTTATAGATGGAATATGATGATGGAATATGATGATGGAATATGATGGTGGCATATGATGGTATAAGCCACTTACCAATATAGAAGCCACTTATAGATGGAATATGATGATGGAATATGATGATGGCATATGATGGTATAAGCCACTTACCAATATAGAAGCCACATATAGATGGAATATGATGATGGAATATGATGATGGAATATGATGATGGCATATGATGGTATAAGCCACTTACCAATATAAAAGCCACTTATAGATGGAATATGATGATGGAATATGATGATGGAATATGATGATGGCATATGATGGTATAAGCCACTTACCAATATAGAAGCCACTTATAGATGGAATATGATGATGGAATATGATGATGGAATATGATGATGGCATATGATGGTATAAGCCACTTACCAATATAGAAGCCACTTATAGATGGAATATGATGATGGAATATGATGATGGAATATGATGATGGCATATGATGGTATAAGCCACTTACCAATATAGAAGCCACTTATAGATGGAATATGATGATGGAATATGATGATGGAATATGATGATGGCATATGATGGTATAAGCCACTTACCAATATAGAAGCCACTTATAGATGGAATATGATGATGGAATATGATGACATATGATGGTATAAGCCACTTACCAATATAGAAGCCACTTATAGATGGAATATGTGGGGACTTCCCAGGACTTCCCAAGGTGAATTTCGGGCTGAGCCCAGCCGGCCCTTACCAAGGCCATTTCGGCCATGACCACCGTCAGTCTGCCGCTCTTGATCTGGAGACTTCAGATCACGGGACCCCAACGGGCTCTCCACGCGGCCACTCGGCGGATTTATTTGGACAATGATGGGATACCCTGGATACCCGGCCTGGTAAACATACAAAAAACGATGGAAAATCACCATGCTATTAATGGGAAAACTCACTATTCCTATGGTCATTTTCAATAGCAAACTGTTAGTTTACCAGAGGATAGTGGAATCTGAATGGAGATATGGAAAAATCATGGGATATTACTTTCTGGTGTCATGGCTCGTGTAAAATCCTGACAAAATTGGAGGTTTTTAAATGGGACAATTACGATGGGTAGCTAGGTCGCTCCAGTAGTGGATTAATCCTGTCTTTTCCATTCAGAAAACTCGGACTTTTTCAGGATGAAAAAATGGAAATTGCCAGTTACTTACCTGGGATGAACCACCAAGGAATATTCATGTGTCTGAGAATGCGAAAAAAAAACCCGAAAATAGATGGCTGGTTGGTGGTTTCAAACATGGTTTTTAGTTTCCATAATGTATGGGATAATCCTTCCCATTGACGAACTCATATTTTTCAAGATGGTTAAAACGGCAACTTGAACAGGAATCGTGATGAGAAACCATCCAAAATTTGTATAGATGCCCGATTTTCAGGCAACCCCAGATGGTTTCGGGGCCGAGTTTGATTCACAACCCTATGACTTGACTACCCAAAGTATTTCCTCAGGCCATTCTTTCTAAGGTTGGATATGGTGGGTCAAGGATTACCATCTCTACAGTAACAGCTTGCTATGGAAAATCATCATCTTTAATAGGTAAATCAACTATAAATGGGCCATGTTCAATAGCAAACTGTTAAATTACCAGAGGCTAAATCCCCTTGGAATCCCATTAAGATCCCATTAACGTCCATTAAATCCCATTAACCATCTATAAATGGGCCATGTTCAATAGCTATGTAACAAATTACCAGAGAGTAAGAGTAGAGTAGCCTGCGCCTTTCGCATCCAGTAGAAGTGATGGCATTCCCTAGTGACGCATGGCAAGGGATCTGCTTGAGTGTTGTTTTATAAAACCAACTTTACCATATGAAATCTAAGATGGAATCATCATATTCAATAAGCAGCAAGTTTCACTTTGACACATTAAATTCTATCTTAGAACATCATCTTCCAACCTTCCTTTGTTTCGAGGTTTCCAGTCCTTAGTTTCCAGTTAAATGTTTTTTTGATTTGCGACTTTGAACTTTGAACTTGATAACCACATATTTGACCTCCAGTGTGAAATCAGCTTCCTTGGGAACTCGTGGACCCAGGTGAAGGCATGGTTATGTATGGCCATGATGGTGGTTGGAATTCCCTTGACGCTGCAGATTGAGAATCACTTGCTACTGAGTTGATATATCAGAAATTCCAAGCGTCACCATGGTCGGGTTGAAGGGGGATGGGCGGATGGTGCCTGTGAAATGGGTGTCACTCAAGAAATATGGTTGTTGGCTGAAAAAAAGCCCATGCTGATAGCTTGAAACCCAACTACAAGACCTGGATGGTGGTTTGGAACATTTTTTATTTGTCCATATATTGGGAATAATAATCCCAACTGACTAATATTTTTCAGAGGGGTAGGCATACCACCAACCAGCCAATCATGCATCCTATATTCACCAAGTGAAGATAGATTGTATCCCAATCTTCATCCACAATTCCCGATTTAAAAAGCGTGTGACGTCGTATGCTTCTTGTTGATAAAGATATGTATAATGTGCTGTATATATATATATATCATATACATAGATGTATCTATCAACCTATCTAATCTATCTAATCTATCTATCTATTTGTCTATAGATTGGATCCATGGTTCATTTTTCACAGCTCCAAGGCTGAAGGGCATGCACTTTCTCCAAATCCACAGGCACGGCGAAAAAACAACTCGATGCCATGGAAATGATAATTTAATAAATTTAATAGCTATTAGATGCTATTAGTGATTAGAAATAGATCATATAGATCCATTTTCATATGTATATTAAGCTTATTCCATACATGTTTATGGAATATTTTCTAGATTTAAGGTGGATCCATAGCCGAAATGGATCCAATTTCGCTATGCTATGGATCCATCTTCTCAGGACGTCTTTGGAAACCTTCGGAGATGTTTGGATCCATAGGGATATATAAGTTTTCCATGCTACATATATATATTTTAACTTATATATATATATATACATGAAAAGGAGTGAAACATGAATTACAAATGGGCTAAATCTGAATTTTATCCTTTTTCTGGGGTTGATGCTTGCTGTTCACCACAGAGCTTAGATATGCATTTAACCTGAATCCCACCCTTATGTCAGAGCAGGGGCTTGCATTTGGATTTTATCCTAGCATGCTTGCGGACCAGTCTGCTCAACTGTTTCATTTGAATTTGATCCTCCTTCCCTATCTTTTCAGCACTTCTGTGGCTTCCATTCAGTTTTGATCCGCTTATTGTTTGTTTTGGCTTGAATCTGGATTCCACATTGCCTCAGCAGGTAGGCGCCAAGCAGGGTTGGATCCAGATCTGACTCACCCAAAGCCACTCTAACTGGAGTGTTAGAACCAAATTTAAGCCCGGGCAGATGGGTTTCCTACAGTTCATTTTTCATGGCCATTTCACATGTAGGAGCTATTCATAGTTGCTACCACAAGTAACACAAGTAGAGTGCGCTGCGATGTGGGTTCTCCTCTGAATCTCAAAGAGATTTTCCAGCCATATCCATACCTGTCATACCTCGAAATTAACCATCCTCCACCGCCAGACACATCTGGGTGTCCTTCAAAAAGTTGCCGAAATCCTCTAAAAATAGGGTGGTACATAATATACATATTCACCTATGATATATCATTATCAGAGGATATATATATATAGATATATTGCGCCATTTGAAATGGTGATTCTCTATAGCTATGTTTGTATATCTATCTATATATATATCCTCTGATAATGATATATCATAGGTGAATATGTATATTATGTACCACCCTATTTTTAGAGGATTTCGGCAACTTTTTGAAGGACACCCAGATGTGTCTGGCAGTGGAGGATGATTAATTTCGAGGTATGACAGGTATGAATTGTAATTGGGCGGGGGGGTATGGATGGTATGGATTTGAAATTTGTGAAGGCGAAGATTGGAAGCACCAGAGACAATCAATGTGGATGCTTTGAAAGTGGAAGTGACAGTTTCTCGAGCCAAACGCGCGAATAGCCCAAAGACTGCGTTGAAATCACGGCCCTTTCGAAGCGGCAGACCCTTGCGGTCTTGCATGGCTTCTGATTTGAAACGCCAAAGTGATTTGTATAGAAGTGGGTGAAATGGGGTGAGGGCATACCCCAATTCATGACATTTATGGCAAGACTTGGCAAGTTATCACATGAGTTCGTATGAAAATGGGATATACCGGATATGCCATGATATGCCCCTAAAGTTGTTATTTTTGATCGCCAAAAAATACATGGAAACATCATGATTCGCTTGGCCCCGCAGGCATCCAATGCATATGGAGATGCGCTGTCCCTCAGAAGGTACGCTGTGACTTGGCGAACCTTTCCACCCCAAGGGCCCCGAGGGCCGGAGAGGGCCGGAGGGCCCCAAGGGCCCCAAAATTGAGGCTTTAATGGAATCTTGACGGGGATATACCCCCTGGTAAACGTTTACATAACTATGGAAAGATCCACCATTTTTAGTGGGTAAATCCACTATTTCGACTGGGCCATTTTCAATAGCTTTTTGTATGTTTACCAGAGGGTAATGGGAGAATCATTTGGAGAGTACCTTCTGGTGACATCAAAGGTGGCTGGGAAATCCCTGCGCTAAATGGAGGGCTAAATGGGTGATTTGCCAGCAAGCCACGCTGACACCGGAGGGTAAACTCCATCAACCCCTGTTACCCTCTGGTAAGCTAACATAACTATGGAAAATCACCATTTATAGTGAATGTTCCCATGAAAATGGTGATTTTCCATAGTTATGTTAAATTACCAGAGGGTAACGGCGAAGAAACAAACTGTTGCTGGGGCGTTTACCCTTGGAAGAGGCACTTGAATTTCCACGACATCATGATCCCCTATCAACAGACCAATTGATTGGTGGATTATTGGTTTCCAGTTTTAAGTAAGACTCGTCTACAGTATTTGTTGAAAACATATGAACATACAATATATAACAGTATACATATATATATATATAAGTACACAGACATATAGGCAATGTTGATAGTTAAATGTCCCACTTATTGCTAGTTAAATCCACATTTTTAGAGATGTTGAGGATTTTATGGGTCGAGTCGTCGCGACGGGGTGTTGTTTGTTGAGACTGCCGCAACTGGTGATCCGTTCCAAAAAACAACTGGTGTTCTTGCAAGAAGTATTAGCATTAACCATGAATAGTATCATATAATAAGTTAAACATCATAAACCACTAATAAGAAAACTATTAGCCATTAATATTCACATCATAGACCATTAATGATAAGCCAGGAAGCCATGGTTTGACATTATTAGATGACCAATCGTTGACATAAAATTCTGGGCAAATTATAACGACCGAAGACTGTTCTCCCGAAGCCTGGGACCCTGGATTTTTTGTCACTTTGCCCAAATCATTCACCATACTTGAACATTGTGAATATCTTAAACCATCTTAAACCATCTTAAACCATCTTAAACCATCTTAAACCATCTTAAACCATCTTAAACCATCTTAAACCATCTTAAACCATCTTAAACCATCTTATCCCTAGGTAAAAAAAGTTCTTAAGTCTTAAGTCGGTGAATATCTTAAGTACCATTTCATCTATATACTTCACGGTACTTCCAGTCAAAAAGTCACCATGAAATGCCTGGCCTTCTTCTTGGTTCAATCAGAAAAATCACCAAGGGTGATGTTGGTGGTCTTCCGGCCCTGCCTGGCCTTAATCGCAACGGCTTCTGCCTTGATCGGACCCTGGAAGCTCCGCTCCAGACTTCGCTCCGTGGGGAGCCACTGGGCGACAGAGCGTCGTGAGACATCTTATAACATCTGAAATAACCAGCATCTGGTTGGTGGTTTTGAACATTTTTTATTTTTCCATATATTGGGAATTTCATCATCCCAACTGACGAACTCATATTTTTCAGAGGGGTAGGTATACCACCAACCAGGCATAAATTGGGATATAAATTGGGATATCACCTCAACTAGTAATGTTTTTTGTATTTGTTTCATCCATGAACAGGGAATTTCCATGAGCAGTGACATAAAATAAAAGGATGTTTTGGATGGTCGGAGGATACCCAGTGAGAAGTGAAGGTTGCTTGACAACGCCATAAATGCCATAACTATTGTATATTATGATAAGGGACATGATACCCTCTGGTAAACTAACAGTTTGCTATGGAAAATCACCATCTTTAATAGCTACATCAACGAACTAAATGGGCCATTTTCAATAGCTATGTAACAAATTACCAGAGGGTAACTATTCTGGTTGGTGGTTTGGAACCATGGAATTTTATGACTTTCCATCATATGTGGGATGTCATCCTTCCCGTTGACTTTCACTCATATTTTTCAAGATGGTTGAAGCCACCAACCAGGACATGATAACTATTGTAACTATTGTATATTATGTATATTATATAACTATTGTATAATATAATGATAAGTTTTTTTTTGGATGACAATCAGATATATGATTATTTTTTTTGGGGGGCAATCATCCCAACGACGGATCTTCAGGGGATAGTTTCATTGGAACATATTGGAATTTATGGCAGAATTGAGGCACACAAAAACCTTTGGAAAGGTTGGTTCAATCCTGATGTATATCAAAGGGATACCCCAGGGTACGCATACAACCGGATGTGGTTTTCCCCATGGCTTTCCTTCTGGGAAAATGATGACGTCTATGCCATCGAGTTACCAAAACGTTCCACAGTTTCCCGTGGTTTTTAAATGTGGTTTCCCAAAAACAGTCCATTTCCATCCAGATCCACTCTCTTACCCTCTGGTACTTTAAAATAGCTATGGACAATTGTCATTTATACCATTTATACGAGGATTTACCTTTTGAAAGTGATGGTTTTCAATTCAAACTGCTACATGACCAGAGGTATGTACAATGGTTGCTCCGGTACCGACATCCCCAGGTCGGAATCGCACCCGTTTCCCTCCTTTTTGCCAGGTTTTATGACTGAAAACACCATGAACAGCATGGCCATGACGGCCGTTCGGACTCGGAGCCGGAGCGGATCGGGTGGATCGGGCGGATCGGGTGGATCGGGATCTTTGACAGAGTCACAGAGTGAAAGTCAGTCGTCGGCCTAGTCGGCCTCGCCATGCCTCGCCTGTGGCCCGTTCCAAAGTTGTTTGGGCCCTGGGGGTTGATCACTGTCTCACGGAATGGATCAAAATGGATGACAAACCATTTCTGGTTGGTGGTTTTGAACCATGGAATTTTATGACTTTCCATTCAGTTGGGAATTTCATCATCCCAACTGTTACCCAGTCCATCATTTTTCAGAGGGGTAGGGCTCAACCACCAACCAGATATTTGTTTATGGGATGGATATCCATAAAGCTCAGCTATTTTGGAAGAGGATTCACTGGCTACTCACAACCCGCCACGTTTTTTAACCGTTACCGCCGCGTTTCACCCAGAAATTGCCGGACACCGAAGGGGATGATCCCTGGACAGAAGCAGTTCGGCGACGTGAAAGATTGATGGGCAATGAGAGTGGCAAACGTTAAACAGCTGTGTCCATAACCGTCCCCCCAGATTCATGACTGAGAAGGATTTTATGACTGAGAATTTTTAGGACTGTGAATCCTTTTTGGTTCCAACTGAATCGAGGGTCTCGATCCGGGATCACTGTTAAAAAAACATAGTTCCAGATGGCATTTTTTCCACTACCCTCTGGTAACCAGCTCCATTGCTAGCTGGGAAATCCCCTCGAAATACGAACTTTTTATGGAGGATTGTCCGGCCATGTTTAATGACACCCGAGGGTTTTTGTCCCACATGATATCATTATATTGCCATTCATACAGGATGGGGCCCCCCAGTTATAAGTTGGTTTATAAACCATTATAACCCCATTAACTATAGTATACAGTAGTTATATCTACCATAAATTTTAAACCATAGTTAAGCCACTTGTAAGGCAACCTAGCTATCTTGGGTGCCCCATCATGTATGTTCATTATTTGTATCGTATTCCAATTCAGATCATGGCTATATTATATTTGTCATAGTTCTGTCATTGTATTGCCATTATAGTCCCATCATAGTCCCATTATAGTCCCATCATAGTCCCATCATAGTCCCATTATAGTCCCATTGTTACTAAACTATTATAGCCATAATTATAACCCAGGGGATGATAATTAGTCCCATTGTCCCATTGCCGGGTACTATAATTATAGCCATAGTATCTCTGATAATAATTATGGGTACAATTACCCTTTGGTTCTTTAACATAGCCATGGAAAATCATTTTCATAGGTACATCATCTATACTTGGGTCATTTTCCACAGCTATCTTAAATAACCCATGTTTCAGACACATCCCTGGTCCGGAATCCGCCGTCGGCGAGGCTTTTTACCGAGGGGAAGAACAAACAGCGCCATGTCAAGGTACAATTTGCGCAACGCGGTCATCTGCAGTTCAAGTCCAACATTTGCAACATATATATATAATAATAATAGTAATAATAATAATGATAATAATAATAATTATTATTTACACAGTATATAAAGAAACACACAAACATATTCATATTATATACATCAAAACATGCGTTATACAGACCATTGTACAATGTTTTAGAATGTAGACCATATACAGACCATATATGACATACAGATCATATCTTCACATTTCGATTGCCTTCGACTGCCATGAAGGGCAAAGGAAAGCGACGCGACGTCTCGGCGTACCTGGACTACTGCGCCTCCCGTGTGGATCCTGCGGATGCCGGTGGCCTGGTTGGGACGGCTTGGGACGGGTTGGGACGGGTTGGGACGCTGGGATCCCTAGGGAAAACCATGGGAAAACCATGGAAAAGCCACGGAAAAGCCCGTTCGGACACATGATCTACGACTTGATGGTCTTCCATGATTTTTCCATATCGAAGTGTTTGCAGGAGGGTATTTTTTGGGGAATATTGGATGATATTGGGGTGATGTCATGAACTTGTGGAAAATGGCTGGGTGAAGTTTCATGTTGATCGAATAGGTTTGGAAAGGGGTGGAAAACGGCGATGACTCCAATGGGAAACGATTGAACATGGTGGATGTTCCGCTTCTCCCTTTCAAGATTAACAAGCTTCTGGTCAACTAACATAGCCATTGAAAGTTCTTGGTTTTTTATAGGTAAATCTCAATGAACGACAGAATTGTCGCCATGTCAAAGTACCACGTAGCCCCATGAACGGCGCCCCCAAAATGAAGAGATCCCAGTAGCAATTTCCCGCTCCAAGCTCCAAGCTGTTCCTTTAGCCCTTGAATTCAGATGATTGGGATGAGTTATGATGAGTTTTCATCTTAGAAACAACAATTAGTTGTCAGCATTGCCACTTCGAGAGCTTTGAAAAACTCTTCTCGGCACCAAAAAAAAGTGGTCTTTTTGTGCATAACAATTGGTATCCTCTGACCATTTCTGAATAGAAATTCAACTTCTGCAGTTTCCAGTTCTCGGTCGACTAAGGTGACCTGCCGACTCGGTTGCTCCCACTCTCACGCGACTTGGGACGACTGCTGCGCTACAAAGATGGCCTCTTGCGGAGCCGCGGCATTGCCACTGGGAGAAAAACATGAGGGGTCAGCCGAAGCCCAAACATTTTCATGTTCAAAGATGGCTATTGATTATGGTCTCTCCATAGTCATGGTGGTATAGAAATGTCATAATCATGGCTAATGTATGGTTAATCTATGGTTATTCTGTATGCTTTTTTCGGATTTCAGAAAGTCATGGGCGTACCCCTTTATCGCTGGAGGGTTTATTTCATGGAACCAATCTAAAATGGATAATAACTGGGGGTACCCCTATGACAAAAGGGAAACCTCCATATGATATATGGCAGAAATTGGCGGGAACTTCACCAACAAAGATTAGGGTTCGTGGTGGCTTTACCTCCAAATATGGCCATTTATTTGATGAGGGATTAAAATCATGAAGCCGCAACCAGTCTATGGTTTTTTTCTTGTGGAAGTCCAAGAATGTGAGATATTTACGGTATATGTCCATTTCAGTGAGAAAATATGACGATCAACCATTGAGTTTGGCGTACACACAGTGATTATAGGGTGGTGTTTTGCTAAGCATAAGTTTAGGAGCTATTGATGAAGCCAACAGTATGGGAAGGCATGTTTCTTCACAATTCAACCCACAACATTACATAACTGTTTTTTTTTTTAAACCTATTTTTACATGTGACGTAACCCATGTTAACCATTATTATATAAGTATATAACCATTGTTATATAACCATTATAAAGTATGGTAGAAAAGTATACTTGGACATATAACCATTGTTTTATAATCAATATATATAACTTGATTATCCCACGTAATGCTTATAACATGGCAAAAATCTGGGGCACGGTGCGGGGCAGCGAGGGTGGCACGGTCAGGGGCTGGAGATCAAAGTAGGACATCTGGTGCTTGGGATAGCTCACTAGCGCGGTCTAATGCATGTCACAACTTGGAGATGATCCCTGGGTAGTGTTGAAGTACATCCTGGCAGAAGTTACTACCCAGGTACTACCCAGGAATCGACCTGACAGTTGCACCAAGCATTATAGACGCCAAACCGTTTCGGTGACACTTACGATAAGCATTATAATTCTGCAATGCTTAGCATAACTGTTCCAGGATTCCTGGGTAGTACCTGGGCAGTGTCTGGGTAGTCCTGGGAAGTCCTGGGCAATCCTGGGCGGTTCTGGGTTAAGAATCTGATAGCCGAACCCCTTATGGTCAAAGGAACCCAAACTTGGACATTGCAAAAGTCAAATTCTATTTCCACAGCACTTTAGTTCCAGAACCATGAAAGAACATAGAATTAGCGCCCAGGAACCCAGAATTAGCGCCCAGGAACCCAGAATATGATTTTCACGTTATAAGCATTACATGGGTCAATCAATATATAACCATTGTTTTATAATCAATATACCATAAAACATAAAAAACAAATGTGTATTATTTAACCATAAAAACCATTGGTCACCATTGGTCGAAGGTCATGGCCATCCTGCTTTGTCAGGAAATGGACCGCGAAGGATGGGTGCAGCTCACCGAGGTGCACCGACTTGATCCGTTGGATAGCAGAAATTGGTCCATAGGATTGGATTAATAATATTGGACCATGGTATTTCACCATCCATATCTATTGGATTATTCCATATCTATTGGATTATTCCATATCTATTGGATTATTCCATATCTATTGGATTATTCCATATCTATTGGATATTAGATTGATTGAAATACTATTTGGATATTAAAATACTATTTGGATATTGGACCATCTATAGATATGGATCTACAGTATTTTAATATCCAATTGAATCCATAGCAGATTCATTGATATTGATATCAGAATACTGTAGCTACAGATCTGGTAGATTTTCTGGTATTTGTCTAAATTTTAGAATCATTGATATATATATATAAATTTGATAGCTATGGATTACTTCTGGTAGAATCTTACATCATTAATTATAGATTAAAATTTATCATAGCTTTCTATTGATAGAATGTTGCTTCCATAACTTTGGTTATTTAAGATAGCTATGGAAGCCATGGCCCATTTAAAATGAATTACCGATGATAAAAATGATGATCTACCTATTAAAAAACGTGGTTTTCCATAGCTACATTAAATAACCAGAAGGTAAATGATACTGATATTTCGCATGATTAAACAAACCCCAACAAGAGGTTAATTATTGGGGTCTATCATTGTCTTATAGCATTAGTTGGGCTGCTGACTGGTGGTCAGATGTCCAAATTATTCATCGTCTTCAAGCAACACGACTTGTCATTCAGGATGAAAGATGAAAGACCATGAATGACAAGTGAGGTCCTCGTGGTGAGTGGCGATTTTTACAAGTACACTCTGGTTATTTAACATAGCCATGAAAAATGGCTCATTTATAGATGATTTTCCCATTAAATCCTCCATTTATAAGGGATTTTCTATGGCTATGTTAAATAACCAGATGGTACTACCGATACCATTAAGGATGAACGATTTTTCAGACTGGTTGCGAGTAGATGGGATGAACAACCAGTATGGCCTCAGCCCAGAATTTGACGATTTCAACCCAACAGGGGCTTGACTGGGCATGT